AAAATTAAAAAAAGTAAGCTTAATACTGGCTTTTGTTTTCTAATCTCTGTGTTGCGAAATTGAGAATAAAAAGACGTCGGATTTGTGCTGTGACGTCAAAATTTTGATGAAATTCCTGAGCTTATGTCTCTCCAGGACGGCTAATTGATACAGTTTATTAAAACACAGGGTCTTGGCGCAAAATTTCATATATAATTAATCATCTCTGATGAAAGCCACGCACGGATTTTCCGCCACTCTCTCGTCGTTAAGACTTTATCCCCTTTAGTCGTGCGAGGCCTCTTTAAAATAAAAGAGAGAGTATGTATGAGATGGACCATTGAAATCTGCTGCGCGCCTTCGTACTTTGGCCGAGCTGGAGAAATGATTGATATCAACGGCAGAGACCTATTTCGCACCCCGTCAGACCAGTTTGCCGTGTAGGGTTAGTTACATGGCGCAAGGGGTGCTCGCCGGGCTACAGGGGAGGTTTTCCAGATCGTTCAATAGGTGGCCTATATGTGTGTGATTACGTATTGTTAGTAAGTAGGAGAGTACACGAGAGAGAGAAGTGGCGGCGGCTGATAACAATAATAATATCGCTCGGCTGGAACCGTCGAGCATCTGCTTTTGGCGTTCTGCACGCGCGGCGACATTCGCCAACCCTCTCTATGCAATCGGCTCCCTCCGAACACGGCTCGTGAATTATTTGCTGTTTGCTCGTATGTGCAAGTGAACGATGGTGATGATGGATGATTTTATCTCCAAGGGCGTGCAAATGTAATCATTGCAACGTAAAATTTAAATTAATCAAATTATAAATTAAGGAACAAGGAATATTACAGCAGTTAATAAATCAGGGTTTGGTAGAATTACTAGAAAAATGATTAAATAAATATGCTGAGTCCAAATGAATGGTATAGATATTAAAAAATTCCTGGTTAATTGCAATTAATTTTAACAATTAGTATTACACCTGCACATTTATATATTTACTGCGCAATTCATCCGTAAATCAGTATTATCAATGCACCAAAAAAAAAACTGGAAGAGTAAATTTTTTATTTACTTACATTCACAACTCAATGATTGTGCGAGTGTTAATATATAATTTTAATTAAACATAGTCTAAATGTAAAATTATTAGTGGACATAAATTTTCCTTTTTTTAGATAAAATTAACAAGTGGGTTGACTAAATTTAAAACATTTTATTAAAATAAAGCTAAAATGATCTCAAAAATTAAATCAATATGTTATATTAAGCTACAAAAATTATTTAAATAAAAAAAAAATGGAAATAATGCTATTTGCATTTAAAAAGTTTTTTTTGTAAAAATTAGGTTTGTCATTGTTCAAGTGAAGAGAATTTAAATAATTATATTGATAAATATACCTTACGCCACCACAATATTAATATTTTCACATTTGAAAAAAAAGCAGGTTACTGAAGATCTGCGCCGTTGTTCCCTGGTAAATTTAAGCAACTTATTTAGAATCACCACATAGTTTTTTTTTTTTTTTTTTTTTTTTTTTTTAATTGAAAATATTAAGAACTGGATTTTTATACATATATAAGAATATAAGAAAGAGATAAATAATTGCAAAAAAAAATCACTTACATAACAACTGCGCCTCTCTTTGAATCCAATAACACTGTCAGCATAACGAAATAAGTCAAACATTGGCTTCGGATAAGCTCCTTTCGATCAAAACTTTTGCATCAAAGGGCTTAAGACGCTTACGGGGGCATTAATTTGCATCGTGCCTCGCGCACCTGTCCGTAAACACACCTATGCTGTTTGTTTTATCCGGTTAGGGCAAAGTCAGAGCAAACTCGTTAATCAAAGGACGGACATGTGACGACAAGTCGAGCGAGCTCGGGAAAAAATCTGAAATAGGTCAACATTCATTGGCTGGAGTTTGATGCGGCATCGACAAAGAAATAAAGGACCTTAATCCGAGCGGCATTCGAGGCGATTAATGCGCACCTCTTTGCCACCGACGGCTGACGACCGCCGCCGGCAAAGGGTTTGATTAAAAAGAGAGCGACCGACGTAGGGTGAAAAAGTTTCGCCGACTTGTTTTGGACCTGCCGGCTGCGATAAACCAGCCGCGCTCGAATTAAATTAATTAAATTTCAAAGCCGCCGAGCAGAAAACTCTGGGGCGAAATCCCGGCGGCCGCTTTTGATTTGCCATTCAAGCTTTTTTGATTCACTGCCATGTGTATGTTTGCCGTGAATTCACGAGAGCTGCAATTCAATCTGCCAGCAATAAAAAAACAACTTTGCTCACTTTCCTTCTTTTATTTTTTGAATAAAAAAGTTTCGGACATTACTCGGCCAAGCCGCTCACGCCCCGCCGTTATTTGATCGATTTTACCGGCAGATCGCAAAATTTGATGTTCCACATACCGATAATAAAATTATTATGCCCGCCACGCTGACCAGCAGCCGTCAGTTGATTGAATAAAAAATAACGAGGGCCGCCATTCGATTAGCCAGCAATCCACGCAGCGCTTTTTCAGCGAAATTTGGCCTCATTATTCAAACCGATGCGAGTGGAATGCTCTTATGGGCACCTGACCAGTCCGCGCTTTTGTGATTGCAATCGACCAACTGAATGAGGTCCGGTGATTAACGATTGTGTGCGAGATTTTTTTCATAATTTCATTCCAATCACGGCAAACGAAAGGTAAAACGTCATCGATTGGAAATTTCAATGCTGATGAAAAAATAAGTCGCTTTCATTTGTCAAATCATTAAATATAAATCTTAAATAGGGATTCATTTAAAAAATATTATACGATCAAACAACATGAATTTTACACTCAAATTTGACAGCAGTGAAATATTTTGCAAAACATTTGGAATGATTCGTTGGTCAAAATTAGCAACAAAAGTGAAGAAAATAAGGATTTTTGTAAGACTATTTTTTTTTTTAAATAAACTGCTCTTCCAGTTTCAATCATGATCTGCTACCCTTTTAGACCTGTAAAAAATTATTGCATTGAAAATTTCACAATTCAGAGAAAATTGAAATTTATAATTATTTTAAACCATCAAAAACTGTTATCAAAGACAGAGCAATAAAATAAATAAAATTAAATTATTAAGTTGCTTAACAAAGCTAAAATTTCAGTAAAAACAAACCATATAATAAATAGGGAGAAGAAAATTATACTGTTTTAACCAAAAAATTCAAAGTCAGGTTATTCAACGTATTTTTTTCCTTTTACCCGTATTTTCCGTTTGTTTTAAACAACCAAAACATCGTTCAAATAAAATCTCTTTGTGTTCCATAAATCACCACTGTTTAGTTAAAAATTTGTTTAGTTTACAAATCCATTCTTTTAATATCATTTTTCCGCATGGATAATTTTGGAACAATGAAATTAAAAGCCTGGAAGAAAAAATCTACTTTTTCCATCCTTGTAATTTTGCAAACGAATGAATCTTCTGCTTCGAAAATTAAAAACAAAAAGCACCACACATTTTCCGCAATATTTTCCGAGTTTATAATTACACCAACAGCTTCGAAGTGCAAAGAAAAAAAAATGGAGCAGCGTTCTCGTGCGGATTTGCATAAGGGAAATGCGGCGTTAAAAAAAGTGCATTGCTGCTTCTCTCGGGGTGCAGCAGCAAAGTAAGCGCACATAAACCCTTTTTGCACTAGATGGCAAAGACAAAGGCGACTCCATTTTTCGCACCACTGCGTGCGAATTTAATTTAATTACAGAAACGACGTCGCCATATCTTTTCGCGCAAATTTCTAACACGCAAAGGGATAAATTTAAAATGAATTTCTACATTGCTACTTTATTCAGAGGCGTAGCCTTATTTGGATTTAGTCGTGCACACATCCTGCGGCCGAAAGAGCGAGAGAAAGAGCCGTGGGGTGTGTTTGAATATTATGTCCCGCGTATGAGTCCCGTGCGAAAATCGATGCTCGAACAACAAACTTCATTATTAAAATGCAAACTTTCCTGCCCAGCGGTCGTCGAAAACTCGCATAAAAACTTTTTCGATTTGGCGCTTTTGGCACTGAGAGCAATGGATTTTTATGCCTGTTTCAATCAACGGCCATTCCCTGTAGGCTTTGAGTTAATAATCTGGTTGTAAAATTAACCAAAAACCACTTTGGTGTTTGACTAGTGGATAATAAATTAAAATTGGGGAGGTACAGTGCGCCTTTAATTTTTACAAGGAAAGGGATTTTAAATGTTTTGTTGGAGCAAAATTACCTGATAGTTAATTGAAAAACTACTTGAATAAGAAAGATAATGACATAAGCTCAAAAAATTTTAATTTAAAGAGCCGTTTTGTTTTGAATAAAAACCATTTCCAACCAGAAAACAATATCTTAATTTTTTTACATAATTACTTTTACATTGCTAACGTGTATATATAAATAATTTACTGATTTTATGATTGCATTTTAATAATATTGTAATATTAAATTGCAATTATTAAAAATAATTTTTATATTAATTAATTGTATTTCACATATTACAATTTTTAATTAAAGAGTATTATCCATTAATTCATGTTAATCCATTAAAACCTTGAATTTATAATATAGATTCATAGGTTTTTTCATAAGTCAGAATGCAAATTGTTACCTATTATCGCTCTGCTCGTAATATGTGTTGTATTTTAATTTCTTTATTCTAGCTAGTATGACTCTTATATATGAAATAATATCAAAATCTACAAAATTACTCACAATTCGTGTGAGATGGAGTTTTGAGTTTAATAAATTCAAAATTTTATTTCAAAATGATGAATACTTCAACACAAAAGCAATTTGTAACCACAGTTTTGTATTGCCTATTTCATGCTGTTGTACTCAGATGGTTTATTAAAAATATGAAAAAATAAATTAGGAAATGAATCTAATGTAAATTTTGTTCAAATGTTATATTTTTACTGTTCTTTCTTGCATTCTACTTTTTAAAATTTGATTATTATGATGACTTTTTTCCAAATTTGACGTCATTTTTTTTTAATTTTTTTTTCAGCTGCCGGAGGGGGCAGGATTGACGCTGAGCGAGCTGCGCGAGATGGCAGGTCGACAGCAGCGTCAGATCGACTCGCAGCGGCAGTTGTTGGCCGCCAAGGAGCAAAGGTTGCTCTTCCTGAAGCAGCAGGACGCGCGCAGCCACGCGGCCGCCGCCGAGCAGGAGCGGCTGCGTCGCCTCCGCGCCAGGGTCGAGGCGCAGGAACTCAAGTTGCGAAAGCTGCGTGCCCTGCGAGGTCAGGTCGACCAGCAGCGCGGCTCAAACGGCGCCCTCAGTGAGTACCTTTCATTTTTTTTACCTCATCTAGCCAAATTTAGGTGGAAAATCTAAAAAATAAAATAATTTAAAAAATTCCCACAGTCGAAAATGCCACTGGGAAAATTAGCTTTGAAGAATGGTCAAAAAATAATATTTTGATATTTTGTAGGATTTGAAAAAGATATTAACAGGAAAATGATCAAAGTGAATGAAAAATTTAAAACAAGGTTCAAATTAATTCTTTTGTGTTTCTTTTTGTAAGAAACTCGAATTTTTGAATTTATTTTTTTTATAATAAATTCATACCGAATTTCAAAAAACACAGTGAATCCAGAAAAATACTAAAACATTTCTGGATTTTATTATATTTTTTTATGTCAGAGACCAAAATTTACATTTATTTCAAAATTTAGTAATTTTTTTTTTTAATACTTAATGAAAAAAGGATTTATACATTTCGCACAATTTTTTTCTCTATTTGCTGTGTGGCAATAAAGAAAATGCCACGCGGCGCGAGTTGTTTTTCGGCTGACTCGGCTGGTGGAGAATGACAGGCGGAGGGACGGACGGACAAACAGGACGACGGGAAAAATTTAATATTGTGCGCATGCAAAACGAGAGCGACGACAGCATCATCTGCTGTGCTGCGTAGCCCGCAGGTTATTCTGCAAAAGGGTCGTTCCCGGCTCGGTCGCTCGAATTAAGTCTTGGCCGCCGGCCGCGTTTTGTATATAATATTCTTGCTTTTCCGATAATATGCAAATCTTTGGCAACAGCGAGTAATCTCGGCCGGCAGCACAGACCAAATAATATGTATGCTGGTAGAGAAGAGGAAACGAGCAGTGAAATGGGAAAAGTTGGACTTGCACGAGCAGTCTTTCAGAATCAGGAAAACAAACAAAGTTTTCAAGTTTCTTCCTCTCAAGTGCAATAGAATTAAATTATGATAAAATATTTGTAAACTCTAAACAATTAACCATCAATTTATACTTCAAAAGCTTTATTTTGCTTTTTACATTTAAAATTAAAAAATTATTATTCAGTTTAAATCCAAAATAATGCATTGGCGTGAAATCTGAATAGACTTGTTGTGATTTTTATTTCAAATATTGAATAACTCTGGCGAAAAAGTGGATTTTTAAATTTAAGTGAATTTTAGATCAAAAATTACATCCAATATGTTTTCCAAATTTTCTGATGAAAAACGATCACGGAAATTTATGGCCCACTATTTTTCTGGTAAACCCTTTGGAGGTTTATGCGCTGTTGACAATTTCTATCTGCTTTAGAATTCCATTAACTTGGGCAAGGTCGGCGAGGAATGACGAAAACAAACTACCCCTGCTCTACGTGAGCTGATAAAAATGCTAATTCGCCTGATGAATGCACCCGGCCGAGCACATAAAGCACGTTTTTCCACGCATTTCGCGCGCTCGTCTCGATTCCCTTCCTTAACATTATGAATTCATTTGTTTGTTCGCGAAACTGAGCGAGAGACAGTTGTTGTTGAATTTGCAGGCCGAACGTGACTGTGAGGCGGCGGGTCATTGCCGCACTATCGCGTGTCACACAGACTGCCTGGCAAAATAATAAGGGTGGGCGGGCGGGCGGCCTTATTTGTATTCCGCCTCCTGCTTTCTCTCCACATCTCTCGGCTCCGCTGTGGCGCCTCTTTTCTGTTTTTTGACCGTCGTGCCACAAAACGCGCGCCAATGCAAATGAATACAATTTTTTGCGCCTGCATTTTCCTCTACATTGTTATATTCTCCTCTCTTAAATTCGGAAATTCGCGAAGCGAGGAGTTTTAAAATGAATAATGTTTGCAAAATTTTCGTAATGAACAAAAAACAAAAAGTTAAATTCTTTATTTTTCTTCTCGTGAAATTAACATAATTTCTGGAGTTGCTTTCATTTAATTTTGGAAAGGAAATTTATTTCAGACTTAGAAAATTGCAAGTCGTAAACGTTAAAAAATTTTATTTGCACTGGAAATTTTTGAAAGTTGAAATTAAATTATGTAAAATTTTTGGGCTAAAACTAATTGTATGGAATAGTTAAAATCGAATAAAAGATTTATATTGGTTTTATAATTACATTTTGTTTTAAAATCTAATAATAAGCAAAGAAAAATCTGAAAACAGTCCAGAAAAAAAATGAAAAATAATGTTCCAAGATCCTAAATTAATTTATTTTATTGTTATAAAGTCCATTAAATGAAATTTTAGCCAGCAATTTAGAATTTAAATGACATAATCCTCTCATCTACCGCCATAATTAGAGGCCTTTTCTTTAATCTAACCCTAATAGCATTGAAATAAATTGAGAATTTAAAAAAATGTTGCTTTCAATTTTGACCGAATCAATGAAGAGCTCAATTTCTGTTGACTTCTTCAAACTCTATTTAACCCATTAACGTCTTGATGGCCTAACAAGTTGGCCGTTCACTCTTGCAGCAGCAGCGGCTGCTTAATAAAGCGAGAATCGATATTCAATTTGACCCTGGCCGTAAATCGACTTAGCATTCCATTTTCCTAATAATATTTCACGCGTCGTGCGCCTGATAGATTTTAATTAGATGCGCGCGCTACGAGCTTTAAGGGTAATTTGTCAGAGTGCCGCCGCAACAAAATAAATTGCCGGTTTCCGTGCGTATCGATTGTTCGTTCGACTCTCTGCTTCTCTAGGTTTCGCGACTTTGCCGGGAGAGAAACTTTGGGCCTGCCCGAGAGAAAGAGAAATGAGGTTTGGTCCGCGTGTGTTTGTTCTTCCGCCACGGCTTGTTGGGACCAACTTTGTCTGCGTCGGAACCCCCAAAACCCCGCGCGTGTCACTCACGTCACCCCATATTTCTCAAGCCGCTGGACGGTCCAGACAAACATGACCGGTCGTTATAATTACTCTTCCCACCAAACATCAATTCTGAAACGGCTCAAACAAAATTCTTTAACAAACAAAAGGGGTTGAAAATACTCCAAACGTTTAGAAAAATAAACTTTTAACACAATTTAAGCTTAAACATGCTATTGCCTGATTATAATTAAATGCAAAAATTTCTTTAAAATTCTCGTAATTGGAGATTTATACAACAATTAAGAGCAAATTAAAAAGTAATACCAAAATTTAGTCCCCGGATGCCCAAGGGTATAAAAAGAATCTGTAAAAAAGTTTTCTCAGCTTGCAAGCCACATGCATGACCTAATAAATTTAATTTTATGGCGCACCATTCCATTTCCAAGATACCTAATATTATTAAACGTGAATAAAATTTACATCTTTTTTTGTTTTATATTTTAAATATGTCAAAAAAAGTTGAAATAGTGAACGTTAAAAGTAACAAAAACTTTGGAAATTTTAATTCAGTCTTGCTAGTAAAAAATTTATAATCTTGGGAATTTTCTGATGTAGTTCTATGAATACCAAATCAATTGTTTAAACTTCACCAACTAGGTCCGAGTCATAATTGAAATTCTTAAATTAATAAATATTATAAATTGATGCAACAAATGCAGAAATATAGGTAAAGAAGTCTACGATTATAAAGGTTGGTCCCTCAACTTGGTATGGCTTTAATAATTTGCACGTCACTGTAATTTATGAAAATATCAGTCCAATTCAAAACACGTAAGTGATTTATGGAAAAAAATTATATTTTCCCACAATAATTGAGCAGATTCCGCCAAAATTGTATAGATATTTCCTAGAACCTTTTTATCTAATCCACTGATTCCCAAATTCACTACACAGCTCGTCTGTTTTTAATATACGCGGTGGCACACATAACTCTTTCCGCGTGAAAAAAGCCGCGGCAAAAGTGATGGAACAAAGCCGTAATCTCTCTCGCGGATGGATTATTCACGTTCCGCCAAACGCAAATAGCAAACGCACCCCATCTCTGGCATATCCCACAGAACCCAGCCAACATTTTCGATCATCATCGGGCCGCGTGCACACGCTGGCCATTTACCACGGAAAAGGCCCATGGGGCGTCTCTTATACGCAAAAATTAAAATAAATATGTCAGCGGATGTACTTTTTGTGTGCTGGAAGTTGCTAAAAACGGATGAACACAACAGGCTCCTAGTTCCACCGAGAATTATTTCCGTGATGGTGTTTTTCACTTTTTTATTCTCTCCTACATCACGAGAGAGAAAGAGGTGAGGGATTAAATTAACCCTCTCTCTTTTGCTCCAAAAGAGAGCTATGGGCCTTGTAATATAATGAAAATGGTCCAAAATGTGGAATCGTCCCAGAATTTTTCACTTTTTCCGGAACAAGACTGCACTGCACAAAGGAACACGTTCGCACAATACCCGCGAGGGTGTTTTTCTCATTTTTTCCCTTCGCATTATTATTTTTTTTTTCGCCGCGCTTTCAAAAGACTCCTCTCACCTGCTTTTGTCGGGCGATTTTTTCCGAGGCATAAAACAGGAAGCGCGCATTTTATTTATTCATTCATTTCTCTCGCCACGGCGTTTTACGGCTGCGTTTTGTTGGTTAAACTACGCGCACAGCACACGTCAATGCCGCCGAGCGATATCGAAAAAAAAATGTATGTGACGCCCAGCCATGCGTGCCGAGAGCCCTTTGTGCCGATGGAAACGATCCATTTGCCGAAGCTTTTAGCGTACGTAGAGCAAATAATAATGCATGTATACGTGCAGCAGTGATTTATGTGGTCAAAGATGATCAGCCTCGAAATAATGAATTCGGTTAATATGGTAAATAGTTCAACAGCCTAACCTATGCATTTTAAGTCATTTTTTAATTTAAAAAATAATTTGAACTAAATAATAAATAATAATAGAACAATGATTTTCTAAAATAATTTTATTTTTTTTAAATATGTTTATTAATGAATAATACAACAGTATTTTGAATTTTAGCTTGTACTTAAATTAATTGTTGAATTAAAAATGTGCCCATCGGTAATGCAACAGTAAAATGGATATAGAAACAATTAATATATAGTTCTTGAGCACCGATGTGGTTGTATAAGAAAAGATGTAAATCTTATAG